AGCCTGCTTCTCCCTCTCCCACTCCCCCTGCTTGTGTTCCCTCTCTTGCTATATCTCTCTCTGTCAAATAAATAAATAAAATCTTTAAAAAAAATTTCTCTGTTTAATGCTTTGTCACACGTAGGTCTTTAATCAATTATTATTTTATTTTGGTAGAATATTATTTAACAAAACACTATAGTATAAAATTATGTTATAATTTTGTTTCAGTATAATTTATGAGTTAGGAATCCTACTTAATTTCTCTCATAGGAGGCTGACTACCCAAGTGTACCAAAGTCACATGTGAATATATCTCACTTAAAATGCACTATTATTTTATATGCCACTAAGAAAGATAAAAACTGTGTAAGATATTACCTGACTTCAGATATGTTGAAATCGGGGGGGCGGGGGGGAGTGAGCCTTACCACAGGTGACTACAGCATTGGTTTAAATGCCAAACCATGATAACAGATGATACATATTTGGATTTACTGTGGTTCTATTTTGGTTCAGTGATCCATCTTTATTCTTTGGCCAGCATCACACTCTATTTATTGTAATTTATTTTTTATATATAATTTAAAAATATGTCAAGGGGCGCCTGGGTGGCTCAGTTGGTTAAGCGACTGCCTTCGGCTCAGGTCATGATCCCAGGGTCCTGGGATCAAGCCCCGCATCGGGCTCCCTGCTCGGTGGGAAGCCTGCTTCTCCCTCTCCCACTCCCCCTGCTTGTGTTCCCTCTCTCTCTGTCTCTCTCTCTTCTCTGTCAATTAAATAAATAAAATCTTTAAAAAAATAAAAATAAAAATATGTCAAAAATATATCTTATAATTTAAAAATATGTCTTAATAAAAGGCCGTTTCCATCACATACCTATTAGAATGGCCAAAGCCAGAACACTGACAACAGGAAATTCTGGTGAGGAGCAATAAGATCTCTTGTTCATTGCTGGTGGGAATGCAAAATGGTACAGCCACTTTGGAAGACAGCTTGACAGTTTCTAACAAAACTAAACATACTTGGGGCGCCTGGGTGTCTCAGTCTGTTAAGCGTCGGCTCCCTACTTCTCCCTCTCTCTCTGTGTTGGCTCTCTCTCAAATAAATAAAATCTTAAAAAAAAAAACAACCCAAAAACTAAACATACTTTTATATGATCCAGCAATCATACTTCTTAGTATTTACTCAAAAGAGCGGAAAAATTATGTCCACACAAAGACTTGCACAGAAGCTTTATTCCTAATTCCCAAAACTTGGAACCTTTAGTAGGTTAATGGTTAAATAAACTGTGGTACATCCAGAAAATAGAATGTCATTTAGTGATAAACAGAAGTGAGCTATGGAGCCATAAAAAGATATAAAGGAAGCTTAGATGCATATTACTAAGTAAAAGAAGTCAATATGAAAAGGCTACATACTGTATGACTCAAACTATAAATAATCTGGAAAAAGCAAAACTCTGAAGACAATAAAAAGAGTGGTTGCCAGGGGTTTGGGGAAGGATGAATAAATAGAACACAGAGAATTTTGGAGGCACTGAAACTACTTTGTATGATACTATAATGATGAATACATGCCATTTTACATTTGTCCTAACCGACAGAATGAACAAGAATAAACATCTAAACTGTGAACTCTAGATGATCATGAGGTGTCAGTATAGGTTCATCAAGTGTACCAAATGGGGGCGCCTGGGTGGCTTGGTCAGTTAAGTGTCTGCCCTCAGCTCAGGTCATAATTCCCAGGGTCCTGGGATCCAGCCCCAAGTCAGGTTTCTTGCTCAGCACGGAGTCTGCTTCCCCCTCTCCGTCTGCCCTCCCCACCCCCACTTGCACGCTCTCTCGCTCTCTCTCTCTCAAATATATAAAATCTTAAAAAAAATAAAACTTTTACCAAAAAGAAGTGTACCAAATGTACCTGGTGGAGGATGTTGATAATGAACAGGGAGGCTGTGGGTATATGTGGGAAATCTCTGTACCTTCCTCTTGATTTTGCTGTAAACCTAAAACTGCTCTAAAAACATAAAGTCTTAAAAAAAAAAGTTTCTGGCTCTGAAGCCAGACTGTCTAGATTAAAAATAAATAAATAAATAACCCCTCATTACTCATCTTTTTCAAGTTTCCTGATATTCTGACTTACTTTCCCATATGAGCATAAATTGTTTAAAAAATATATCGGTATTTTTCTTGAGGCTGCATAAAATGCATACATTAACTTAAGGAGTTCTGACACCTTTATGATGTTGAGTCTTGCTTTCCTATAACACAGAATACCTTTCTATTTATTCAAATCAATGTTTCTGTCCTTCAGGATACTGAAAGTTTTCCTCATGTGTATCATGCTATCTCTTTTTAGATTATTCCTAGGTATCTTATACTATTTTTGTGGCTATTAATTATAGTTATAAATTACAATAATTAATATGCATGATATAATTATGCTACACAGAAAATTAACATAAACATAATTATATTTAAGTATATATTTATATGTAAATGTGTTTTATATTATTGTTTACTTAAAATTGTTATTACACTTTTCCCAATGCATCTTTCATCTATTTTTGTTTTAAATAAACAAAATTCTATTGACTTCTGGATACTGACTGTGTACCTTTTGAATTCTCTTCTATTTGTAATGGTTTTCAGTCTATAACAGGATGTTAAACTATGTCTCTCTCATTCTTAGTTTAGGAGAAGTCCTGAAGAAGAGCAAGAGAACAGGGGCCACAAAACTCTGCATTCCACAGCAAGAACACTGGCCATCTTTTTTTTTTTTTTTTTAAGATTTTATTTGAGAGAGAGAGAGAACACAAGTGGAGGGGAAGGGCAGATGGAGCAGGAGAAGCAGACTCCCCGCTGAGCAGGGAGCCTGAAACGGGGCTCGACCCCAGGACCCTGACGCTTAACCAACTGAGCCACCCAGGTACCCCGAGAACCCTGGCCATCTTATGTATCATGCAAAAGGAGCTGGCTGCAAACTGATTTTGTGCCCTTGGGTCCATTCAACATCTATTCTAAAGGTGTTTCAGAGATTGGAGAGTGTATGAGAGGAGGCTGTTTTTGAGAGAAAGAGCTACTTTTGGAAAGCACTGGTATGCTCTGTAGTCCTCCTGCCTCACAGGGACAGAAAAGAGGGACCCCAGTGCCACAAGGGTTCCAAGTAGAATGTGATGGGAGGTCTTGGGAAAATTTGCCTTGTGTTCCAGAGTTTAGAAAGCACAGAGACTGGGGCCACAGTCCCTCTTCGAAGTAGCTATGATGGGCCCCATAGTAGGAGCTGGCCTGGGTCTGGTTTTATTCTAAGCCTACCAAAAGTATTTCCAGCTCTAGAGAAGAGCTCCATGGAGGACTGATGCCCAAAGCCTGAATGTAGGAACTGTAAGCAGCCCTCTCCTTAGTAGTTGTGAACATGCCCCAAGGCAAGAGAGATCCAGCGTCCCTACAATTAAGATTTTTCTTCCCCTCTCTTTTTGCTGCTCCCCACTTCAAGTGGTCTAGTGGAACAGAGGTTAGGAGAAGGAAAAAAAGAAGCAATCATCAAGCTTTCTCACTGGAAGCTTCTAGCTCAAGGAGCCAGGAGGTCAAACTTTTAAAACAAAAGTTTATGGCATTGATTAGTACAGTGAAACAGACATTCTCATTACTAAAATGAGGCTGATTTTGTGACTGAAAGAAACCAGAGAACTGTTTATTTTCCAACTGTGACTGAAACACTTATCCACAGGCAGGAAATTAACTGGCCCAGAGAAGCTTGGTAGAAGTTATGGGGAAAAAATAAAGCAGTTGTTTTCCAGTTGTTCCCTATGGAGTACTGGTTTTCTAAAGGATTTAGGGGGGAAAAAAGGTTAAATAATACTGCTGATAGTGCCTTCTCCCTGATCTTATGGTGAATGCTTCTGGTATTTCACCATTAGGCATTAGGTTAGTTTTGCTTTTTTTTTTTTTTTTAACCTTTCAATACAGAAA